GCCGACACTACGGCTTTATTTTGGCCGCGCGCGTGCGCGAAAGGGCGAAACCTATCAAGAGGGAGAGGTTTAGCGAGTGTAGCAAATCTACCTGCATGCAAACACGAGGCATATTGTGGCTCTGTTGGAGGTGGGTGCAAAAAGGGGCCGGCGGTTCTGGGGCTGCCGAAAGTTCATCTAATCTCCGCTGAAACCCACTGCAACAGATGATGAAAGGATGATTCCCCTTCAACTTCAGAAATCTACCTGTTCGTACGACCGCAAAGTATTCAACAAGGTACAATATGTATTTCCTGAAATCATCTTGCTATCCCGGGCCGATCGGCCCATGGACCGGGTTTGGAAAGTCACCGGGATTATCTTCTCTATCCTGCTGTATATTCTCTGCTCCGTTTTGAACACTGACAGCAGAGATGCCCGAAACGTACGCATTTCAGCCACGGTTGATGGCACGAAAAGTCTAATATCTAGGGGTCCTAGACACGTCAACTTTTATGGAGGCTCGCCCCTAAATCGCCTTTCCTGGCTTCGCCCATCTCAGTCGTTTCTAAACGCCATCGCAGCTATTCCGGAGACGAAATGGTTACTCTTCAATGCTGGACAACCCTTAATCGTTTCAAGCGCTGATAGATCGACCAAACCTTCCCCAGTATATCTAAGCACTTCGGATGTCCAACAATTCCTGGGACCAACCCCATATTTTGGCCAGGGGAAAGAACCTGGAGAACTTGTGGTGGAGATAGATGGAGAAAGTCATGATCATCCCCAACACTCTCCTACAGAGGCTGCGAGGCATCTCGGTATTCCTGTTGTTTTCCTTGGGCTGCATGAAACCGACAAGGACGATAACAGTACTGCGCTTCTGGCCTCCGACTTCAGTGATCCAGAAACGGCCATTAAGAAAGTCAATGGTATTCCATATTTCGCCATGGATCTTCTAGATCTAGACTCCACACTGGAAGTGCTAGAAGGGATGCTGAGCGAAACCACCCCAGGGAGAGAAGGCAAGAGATTAGCCTGGTCTGAACCCCGCGCTCTCATGTCCACTCTCGATGCCTTCGATGCTGCCGTCTTTGCATCGGCGAGGAGTATTCTGGACTGGAATCAGCGCAATAAGGTCGGCGTCTCGTATTGATCGTTGTTGTAATTGAGGATCTCAACCTCCCTTTTCCTTAGTTTTGCGCTGGTTGCGGTTCGCCGATCTACTCAATGTGGGGTGGCTGGAAACTCGCCTGTCGGTCATTACTTCCCTGGGCGGACAATAACAATAAAAAGCCTTGTCCGACTGCGTAAGTCTGTGTATTTGTATTTTGGCATCATTCATTTTTATTGACCCTTCTAAAGCACAGGCGTCCATAATTTCACACACCCACGAACGGACGCCGTCGTTATTATGATAGCGATTGATGAAACTGGTGACAAAATCCTACTTGGAAGAGGGGTACGTTCCGTGGACCTTCCGAAAAATGACGATTACTCAAGTACAATATACAGAGGAGGTTTCCTGGGAAATTCTACTCTGCTTTGGCAGGGTTTATCGAACCCGGTGAATCATTTGAAGATGCTGTTGCCAGAGAGATGTGGGAAGAGGCGGGTGTTCGCGTCTGGAACGTCAAATACCACTCTGGCCAACCCTGGGTAAGAGGAATGTCCGCCGAGGGCAATAATTTAGTCGACTAATTTGTGTGTCAGCCATACCCAGCAAACCTCATGGTCGGATTTTACGCTCGGGCTGATTCCTCAAAACCGATTCGTACAGATTTGGACAATGAACTCGTCGGTCAGTAAGTTTCATCGAAATGTGGGAGCCATTCCTGAAGTGTTTCTTCAGATGCACGGTGGTTTACACGGGAAGAGGTCCTGGATGTCCTCAATCACAAGTCTGGCACGAGATTTGGCAAAGCTGATTACAAGAAGATGGCCGAAATTACCGAGGGTCACAGCAACGCCGAGCAAAAACGCATACTGGAACCCGGTGTGACGCCCGCGGATACAACAATGACCCAACCGAGGTTCGCTGAACGAAGGCCATCGTGGGATGAGTTGCCGTTCCGTCTTCCACCTGTCAGTGCTATTGCAGGTGTTTTAATCAGGGATTGGGCGGAGAAGAGGATCAGTATTCCATCTGAGGATACAATAGTACGGGGTAACTTGTAGATTTTTTGCCGTCAAGTGGAAGATACATTTTTACACCCGGAATGCTGAGGACTTGCCTCTCACATTGGTCAAACACGGCGCAATTATATTCTCTGCAGAAGCGCGATTAATCAAGGGTTACATATGGATTATAGATCTAGTAAGGTATCTTGAAAGAAAAGGAGTCAAAATAGTTATATAAAATTATCACTCGGCTTTAGGCGCCTCTGGCTCCAAGTGCGGCGGGTGTGATCCATGACGGTTAGGATTCTGTTTGCACGACTTTTTGTGTCGACTGATGGAACTCATGAACATCTGCTTGCAGAAAGGGCATGATTTATTAGGTACTCCTAGGTGAGATTGATAGTGCTCTGGACAAGTTTTAGTAGGAAATCACAATTCAATACAATCGCGCGGCTTACGGTCAAGATTGGATTTTCTTGTAAATCCTTGTCGGCAATGCTTGCAAAAATATTTGGGGGGTGACTTTCTTCGCGACTTGCTCGCCTCGCTAGCAGCTGGTGTTGTGACTTTGGATCTAAATCCCACTGGAGGGTGTGTTCCGGATGAGGCGTGAGGATTGGGTTGGGTTTCTGGCCAGGGTTCCACTGCAGGTGATTCCGGGGAAACGGACCGCGTGATTGGTGCACGGCTGGGGAATCCCACTGGCCCGGCATTCGGATTGCAATGGTTTCCCTCCGAACCGTTATTTAGTCCGAAGATTGCAACAATTGCAAGAAGGTTGATAGACGATGAGCAGTTTGGGATATTCCCAAGGTCCACATAGAAGTAAGACATCAGAGAGCGCTAGTAAAACGCAAGCGTATGGCGCAGGAAAGGATGCCAATAACCAGCTGAAATATGAGCCCTCCTTCTATACCCTTTCCAGGCAGTGACAGGCTCGAATAGGTCAAAAAATGCCATGCACTGCAAACATCTATCGTATCACTTGGCACTGCACAGGTCTTTGGCGCCCACAGCTTGTCAAGTAAAGCGGTACTAGGCGGTACTTCAACTAGTCCGTGGCCCCTGTCATTGGCTATGCGAGCTAGCTCGCTTCAAGATTGGGGTCAACGTCAACGGTCGCAAGCTCAAGGAAAGAAAGAGAGGGAAAAGAAAGACACGCGCGGCAGTGACACGTTGCGCGTCACATGTAACAACTGCCCAGAACAGAACCTTTCTTAAAGAATTATCTCGTCTACTTATTGCGCGATTCCCAAAAGTATCAAGTATTATCACCTTGTTACGCTCAACGCCCTTATTCACTCATCTCCGACAGTTAGACTGAACCTACACCATTCCACCCAATTACCCCCACACAAATTATCCTGATTCCTTTAAATTTACATATTCAGCTCTGCCTGGGCAGTGGGCACGCCCCACCTATGTTCAATCGACTGGCAGCTGAGTGAAGCAAATCTCGAGCACATGTTAGGCATTCAACACAATATCCACGCCTTTTATCTTCCATTTTACCATCCTTGAACATTAAACATTAATTATTTCACATTCACCTCCTGTATGCAGCATCATCTAATTCATGAATCACTTCTTTACCTACATATCAAAAAAAATCATAACTCTGCTTTCCACTGTGGGCCATGTCATCCACCTCCTAGTTCCTTTGGGACTCCCACTACTTTGGCGCTTGGGTACTGCCACTTTCTCTGATTATCTTGCATAACATTAAGTTAGCTAGTGTGGACTTACTTACTTTGGCACTTGGGTACTGCCAGTCTGCCACTTTCTCTGATTATCTTGCATAACATTAAGTTAGCTAGTCTGGACTTGGAACTGAGGCAGAACAGAATGTCCCCTCATCCTTTTGCTTTCTTTTATCCCTTCCCTCTACATGTTGTACATGTTATCACTCATAAAATGATGTTGGCAATTATTGCTGTTTGCATCAAAGTTGGCACTCGTGCGAAATTGAATTTTGCACCTTCCGAGGTGAATCTTCCGAAGTCCATATCTCTACAACGAACGGCTCAAATAATGTAATTTCACATGCGTTGGATTCGTTTCATTTAGCTCTATTGTGCCCCGCCATTTTCACAATGAAAAACCAAGCGTTACAAATTCGATGTTTTAGCAGCCCCGTAGGACTATGTGGGATCTTCTGCCATGAGTATCAAGAAATCAGAGGTTATAAACATGGATAACAATATAAATACATGTAATACATTGTGCCCCAGTAAAAAAATGAGACAAATTAGCCGAGAAATGACAGAAATCAGGTGTCCCGGACGAGGAGCACTGACCACATGTGTCCCCTGGCCATTTGGCAGCCAATTTCTTGAATTTTGACAATGGGGCGCGCTGTAGAACATGTATTTATATCATTATCCAAGCTCATAATCTCGACTTTCACAATATTCATAGCAGCAGACCCCGAATAGTACCTACAAGGCTGCCAAAAACCTGAATTTGCAGTGGTCGCTTTTGAATGGTTAAAGTACTGGGGCGCAATAGAGCTTTATGAGGGGGTTCCAACACATGTAAAATCATAGCAGTTGGTCCATAGATCATGGAGATATGGACGTTGGAATGAGGGTGCACAATTTGATGAAATTCACACGAGTGCCAACTTTGATGCAAACAGCAATAAAACAAGTGAAACAGCTCTTGCAGACTGCAGTGGAACTCGGTCAGTTTTATGAATGGAATTGAGTCATTTTTTTCAATTATATCTGCCTTAGGGAATGAATGGAATTCTCAAAGGATTCATTTCCCCCAAGCTGGCCACAAAAGAGAAAGAAAAAAGAAAGAAAAAAAAGAAAGAAAGAAGAAAAAAAAAACTTTCCGAGGTGGGCACTGGGGAAAGTTCGCAATCCAAATTCAACAAAATTTCAAAAAGCAAAAAATCCTTCGAATCGGGATCGAACCGATGGCCTCGGGATAGATAGCTTTTGTCATCAAATTACAGTCCCACGCTCTTCCAACTGAGCTATCGAAGGCATGCAAAGTGTTGCAATGAATGCTCTAAGATGTCGGGAGAGAAAGCAAAACTCTGCACCGGAAATTGAAATAGAGATTATTGCCTACCTGAATGGTGGTGGTGGCGGTGGGGTCCCCACTGCCCTGAATCCAAGACAACCTCAATCCCCATCTGAAATTATTTTTCGTTGAAAACATCATCAGGATACGGAATTCCCAACTTAACACGACGTAATGCTCGCATTTCTGCTCGACACAAGGCCCGGGCTCGCGCAACCTAAATTCTCCTTCAGTGCTTTCCCAAAGCACCTCTGCGTCGGACCTGATCACGCTTAACATCGTCAGTTCCCAGTGCAACGCGGAACAACAAGGATATTCATTCCACCAATTGATATCGAACACCACAGAATTGCATAAACCTATTGAGGTTGTTGTCTCTAGATTCTGAAGGTTCAGGGATCCCATAGTCAACCATGAGAGCATTTGTGTTCTCGGCTGAGATGGTTGGATAATTAGCGCGAATATTTCGAAGCTTGTAGGGCAGGAACCCACCGTCGAGGTTGAAAAGACTCGTTAGGTCCTTGGGAAATCGACCACTGACATTCCCATTTGGCATGAACATCGTCGCCAGAGGTTCGCCGGGTTTGTCGATTTGGAGTTTTGCATTGGCACGACGACTCTCCCTGGCGAAATTCGATCAACACCGTGCTATCCACCTGAGCACAACTCACGAATTATGAAGCCTCAGATTGAGCGCCTCCAGTTCGCGTTTGCTAACGGCCACTTCATCTTGAAGGTCCTTTGGGATATGAGTCTTCAGACACTCCTCGACTTGTTCTTTAACAAGTTCGTCTATTTGACTTGCAACTTCCTGCTCAACTAGAATTTCGGTCAGATTCATTCGCGGCCAATTGGATAGGCAATTACCTTGCTTCCTCATCTCTTCAACAATTTTTTTCTCGAGCAATTCATCAAGGATTTCTGTGCAAACACAATTGTCAGCACAAAATAACAGACGACACGAAAACCACTCGCTTTGTATTTCTATCAGGCCAGCCTTGTGCTTGTGATCCTGGGCATCCATTTGTTGAAGGAGACTGCGCGATTAATTCCAATCTGTTCGACAGATCATGAGAATAGATCTACTTACTCGGAAAGCTTCTGGTTCCCCGTGACATCTCCCCCGGAGGTCGCAACCTGCATCGTCTGCGCGTGCAAAGCAGAAAAGGTGGTCTATCCAGAATTTCTGCTTAGCGTAAGATCCAAGCTCTAAGCGACGGCGCTTACCGTCAAGTCATCAAGTGGTTTCTTGAATTCATTGATGAATTGGCGCGTCTTTTGCGCTTCGAGTTCGATCGCGGTTGGGCCGTGGATGGGTGAGAGGGTCCTTTCAGTACTATTGGGGGTAAGAGGTTCCATAGAAAGCTTGAGGAAGCGCTAGCGTCCCAGCTATCGAGTTATGTCATTATGGACATGAGGACTCGGTCAGCACCACCACGAGGTTGTGGCGTGTACTCAAGAACCTCAAAGTTGCCGTCAACACTTTGAATAGCCTCCGGAACATCATGGGAGATAAGAATTTTGGTGGGGAATAAATCGTCCAAGTTCGACGTATTGCTATACTGGTTACTAAATAGATAAAAAGATGTGTAAGTCTAATCAATACATATGTGGAGTGGTGTGGATGCTCGTCTATTATAGTTATACGTACATACCGTACACGACAAGCGAAGGTCATGAAAGCTGCGGAGCTGAGCGGTGCTCTTCTTTGAAAGGTTCTGGGTGGCTCGCCAGCTCAACCGCTTCTTCGCCACTCTCGTGTTCGTGTACCTGTTCGTGTACCTGTTCGTGTCCGCCTAAATACACTTGTTCTCCCGCTGCTGCATTTAGCTGAGCAGCCATAAGGGCCCGGAATCTTGAATCTTGACGCCCAACCTTCCATCGTAACCTGTCAGATATGCTCTTCCAAAAAAAGAAAAAAAAATGACAAGCTTACAAGCTCGCGATAGGTCCCAGTTTCACTGATTCTACCACCTTCAAGGACAACGATCCGCTCCGCACGAGCGATTGTAGACAACCGGTGAGCAACGATCAATACCGTGGTTTGCCTTGCGCGAAGAATCTTGTCAACGGCATCATTTACCTTCAGAATGCCAAAGTTAGCGGCGATTCATCCGAAGGTAACTATGCCACACACCCTGCGTTCAGAAGTAGCATCCAGGGAACTCGTGGCCTCGTCCAATGCAAGTATTACGGGCTTTTTCAACAGTGCTCGCGCTATCGCTAGACGTTGTCGTTGCCCACCACTCAAACTCAGTCGACCAACTGCATGACGAGTCAGAATAGTACAACTCGGCTACATATTCTCGAACTCACTCTCAGTGTCAAACCCATTTGGCATTCCCCAAACGAATTCGCAATTGGCCTCTCTCGCCGCGTTTTCTATCTCTTCACGGCTGGCATCTGGGTTACCGAAGGCAATATTCGATGCTATTGTACCAGTAAAGAGGACAGGATCTTGAGGAACGAAGCCAATAATCTGTCGCCAAGACGTGGTCGAGAATTCACGAATATCTTCAATATTGCCCGTCAAACCGTGTCGCTAGAACATTTCGAGGCAAAAGCTCACCTTTTCCATCACAGGTTATTTTTCCCTTGATAGGATCGTAAAACCGGAGTAGAAGGGAGTGTACGGATGACTTTCCGCCTCCACTTTCACCTCTGAGGTCATTTTTCAGAACAAGAGCGAACATAGTGGTGGATTGTTGGACTTACACTATTGCCACACTTTCTCCCGCGGATAATTCTAGGTTGAAGTCCCTTAGGATCTCAACACCTCTTCGACTGGGATATTCAAAATGTACATTTTTGAACTCTATGATGCCGAGGTTGTCCTTCGGAGCTTCATCACCTGTTGCATAAGGGATCGCAGGAGTTCTGTCGAGAACCTCGAAGACGCGAACACCAGCACCGATTCCACGCATAATCGAGGACTAGTTCGCAAATAATGAGGTTCTAGCATATCGAAAACGAAAACCTGACATACGAAGAATGATCTGGAAGAAACCTCAATTAATTGTTCAGCAATTTGCATCGAAAAAACAACCCACGTGAGCATTTGCAAACCACTTCCAACATAGACGGTATACAGTAAGAGACTGGTAAGGTCTCCCACTGAAATATCACCATGAGACACCAAAGTGCCACCTTTTGACCGTATGAAAACATTGTTAAGGACTGAGTTAGAATATAGCGTACCATATCCAAGGAGACCAAGAAGGGTCACGTTCCCGCTCCAGCCCGTACTACCAAAGAAAATTCCACTCGCGATCGCTTCTCTCCTTGCAAGGACCAGGACTGTTTCCACTTTCTCGTGGAACTTTTTCTCCTCTTGAGGGACGGCATTGTAAGACTGAACCGTGCGGAGGGCAGAGAGGGATTCTGAAGCAACCTAGTTGAAAGATTTTCGTGAGCATCATGCCTAACCATTTTTCATTTTTTACAATATATACCTTTGTCATTTCTCCCATGGCCTCCTGGGTTTTGTTTGACAGCTTTTTCAAATAACGGCCGTAGAAAACCTATAGGTCTGGAACGTCAGTACGTGGGTATCTGGAGTTTTGGATAGGCCATACAGCACCCAGGGATACTGGAGGAACCACTGCAAGCATCAGCATCGTCAAAGTCGGCGAAACATAGAACATTGCGCCAACTAAGATATATTGAAATGAGTGCTCATTTTGTCCTCAGAAGACTGAGTTGCTCACGCCCGACTGTAGACATCACGATTGCCCGAAGACCGTCTGAGAGGTTCTGCGTCACGCTGTAGATGGTTTGAGCGAATGAATGGCCTAAGCTGGGAACACGAACCTTTCACCGACGATACTCGTGTCAACACTCAGCCGACTCAGCACATCACCTTCTCCCCTTTCCACAAATTCTACTTCCTGCTTTAGTGATGCCGAGTATGTCTTTTCACGCAGACGAGCAACGATGCGTTGACCTAGGCATAAAATAATATATCAAGGCTCTCCGAAGTGTCAATCTCCAATAACTAACCCGAAAGCCTCATAAGCATAGAACGACCAGCGGTTGCCACTGCCCCGAGGGTAAAGAGGAAGAGAAGGGCGGCAGACGCGTGCCAAACCGAAAGGCCGAAAGGTATTTGCTAAGCGAATGAAATTAACACCGGGTGTAATAAACCAGAGAGATGACACTCACAGGGTTTGTGGAGGAGAAAAAGTCGATCAGTTTGCCAATAGTGAATGGCACGCTCATGGAAACCGCAGAGGAAATGAGCAACAATCCAATTGCAATAGTCAGTGGTTTCCACTCTGGTCTTGCGAGGGCGACGATCTTTCGGAAAGATGACACGCTTTCCGGAGCATTTGTGGCAATTTTCGCGGGGAGGAGACGTGACAGAAGCGACCGTTTCTCCTTCGAGGCGACGTTGCGTGAAGGCGGGGTTGGTGGAGCAACTTGTGTCGAGTTAAACCTCCGTGTCGGCAAATATTTAAGGATCCTCGATGTCGACGATAGACCAGCTGCGGGTTTACACCTCAAATTCCGTAATCCCAGACTGATGACGAGCGAAGTGTGGTAGCTCCTAGCGCTTGCAAAGTGGAAGGTTCCGTTGCGGACGGCGGCGACGTTGGATGATTGTGGTCGAAGACATGACCGACCCCAGATACCCAGCATCCTTGTAATATCCCGCCCTGCCGTCAAGGCGATATTGTCCTGCTCTACAGACTGCTGCCTGAAAATAGAGGTTGAAGTTGGGGTTTGGAGCCTAAGCCAGGTAAGCTGTAACAGTAAGCCCGTGCCGATCAACGATCCGAAAATTCGTCACCCACGTGATTGGTTCATCTTATCTTATCTAGACACGGCGGGCAAACCAGTGAAGAAAAAAGGTTGCATGTCCAGTCGCTTGTCCAGTCCGTAATAATACAAAGGATATGTTGATTCTCTTTATCAACACAAGGGACTCGTGACAACTGGGTGACAACGGTCCACTGGACAG